AATCGACTGTCAGCCCTCTCTGAAGTTTGATAATCGATTATCAGAGTGTGATAATCGATTATCAGCCCATTCTGAACATCAGACAGTAGATTATCAGAAGTGACAGTAGACTGTCTCCCTACACTATTGAAGAAAATGAAGCTAATAGTTAATAATTGAATTTCCTATCATATATTAATCAATTATTGTTTAGAAAACATGATTTTTGAACTATGAAATCCTATTTTTGATACCAATTAATTATGCACAATATAAATATGATTTTGTATAATAAAAATGATGTTTTTGGCATATAAAATACTATGTGATGCATGACGGTAAGTTCAGGTGTTAACACTCGAGACTAGGCCGCTGTTTGTTATCAAATGTTATGTTGATTGATGATTATGATGAATGATTATTATGATGATTATGACTTCATGAAACTACTGATTAAAATGATTATTGAACATTAAATTATGAATTGAAATGAATATGTTGATGATTATGAAATGATTTGAATTCTAAGGATATCTAGAAGAACTCTAAGATATACCTAGGTTGACGTTGGTTTCTAAGACTATCTAGAAGACCTCTAAGATGGCTTAGAAATAGGCCTTGCGGGTATAATTATGAATATTCGGTGGCCTGGGTTAAAACGTACGTACGGGATCTACAAACCAAACTAGAGGAACTCGTTTGGGGATACCACCCAACCCGACAGTGAGCATTCTGCTGTTCGTTTTCTGAATGACCTTAAGCGAATGTAAGTTTAAGATTTTGAAAACATCTTTTTGAAAAATTGTATCTTAAACTAGGCCTAGCTTAAGGGTTAGTTAAGAGTATCTTAAACTCGAATATAGTTTAAATATCTTAAACTAGAATTCGTTTAAGAGTTGGTAAACATGAAATAAATTGGCCTTAGACTAAGAATAGTTTAAGGATATTATTGAATGAGGATATTGAATGTTGAATATGAATATTGAATGACGAATGTTGAATATTGATTATTGTATATTTGAATTGAATACTCTGTGCATGATACCAAATGATTTGATTATGAATTTGGATTCAATTTATATGGATGTTCGACGCATTAGATATGCTTACTCAGCTTCACCGCTGAGCGTGTACTATGTTTTATTTGCTACACGCAGGTTAATAGAAAGAATGATGTGGCGTGATTCTGGAGGCAGATGGAGGCGAGATTGTCGGAATGGATGTGATGGTTTTGAATTAAAGAACGTAAATAAATTATGTTTGTAATTATGATTTGTTAAGCTTCCGCAATATTGAAAACTCCGCACTGTATATGTTATGAAAAATATTATCGTGATAAATAAAGTGTTTGAAAAGTTTTAAATTTTACGATCACCAAGTTAATACTTTAGTCCGAAAGGGGCTGCAGACCTAGACGGATTAGGGTGTTACACATTCTTAAGTAAAGAAACAGGTTACTTTCTATTCAGCAAGCACATTACTTTCTATGCCAAAAAATACAGAAGCTAACGGGAAAGAAGTAGGGTTGGGACATACTCTTAGTCTATGATTATGAAGTCACTTGTTCTTTGTTCTTCTCTTTTCGTGAAGACAAAAGTTTATTTGTTCACGCCGTTTACTCTCAATTGTTGGTTGAATAGATGAAGATCCAGTTTCCTTTGAATCTTTAACGACTTATAAATGAACCAATGAGTAATCACAAGGTTGCATTTGATGAAAGGGCAATAAAATTGGCAAAAACTTCTAAATCTAGAATAGAATGTAGTAAACTATTTATTTATTTAAAAATGCAGAACAAACAGGTGAGCATGAAGCAATATTTTTCAAGCCTTAACACGAGTAAATTAAGTATGAAATTGAAACGTGTGAATAATCCTCACTGTTAATCTTCCTACTTTTGTTATTTCCCTCTTTTCTTTTGAAAGGAAAACTTGTGTGGTTTTCATTCTTCATTCTCTTTCTAAACTTCCCATTTACAAACACATCTAAAGCCGGATGATAACACCAGCATTCTAGAACATATTCTTTTCACCTTTGATCTACTGACTGTGAAAGAAAACTAATGGTAGCTAGCTACCAAGCAAAGGGAGAAAAGGTGTTCTCAGTACTATGCCTCCATTTGTTTTCCTATCAACTCTTTAAAGAAAGATAAAAGAATAAAATATAACTAAAAGCATTCACCCATAATGAGTGCTAACAGTTTTCTATACTTTCCCTAGCAAAGTTTTTGGACAAAATCATGGGTTACTTAAAATATAACAAGAGATATGCACTTCAAGTTTTAAAAGAGGACTCAATTCCGAAGACTAATTAGACAATGTAGAAAGAAAGAAGGTTCAAAATTAAAATATAATAAGAGATATGCACTTCAACTTTGAAAAGAGGACTTAACTCTGAAGACCAATTTGACAGTGTAGAAAAAAAGAAGGATCAAAATTGTATCATGATCCAAATATCTTTTAATATACAAAGCTCAAAGGGAAACATGAACAATATTTTTTCCCACCCATTGACCTGTGCAATAAACACCGTTGATTTCATTGGGATTAGATGGACGCTTCACACTTGCGCGTGGGAAAGGATGCATCCATTTATTGAAGTCATCTACTTTAATATTGGAATTGGGAAGTTCACCAGTTCTTACTTTTCCCCTGGCAGCATTGGAAACTCCAAATAGCATTGAAATCCTCACGCAGGCTTTGGTTCCTCCATTCTCCTCCTTTCAAATTTTAATATTACATTTGTTCTTCTACTCTGTTCATCTAATTGGTTTCTAAATCGATATCGTTAATTGGTTTCTAAGTTTATTATTTGTTCTCCCCATCCATTCATCGCTCAAAGGTTCCTAAATTTAAGATTTTGGATATTTCAGCAAGACTACCGGTGGGTGAGGATGCTGCTGATCGAAGATGGGAAGAAGAACGATCGTTCTGTACCCTAGTGTCTCAAGTCAGCTTTCTCTTCTTGATCAATTTTATTCTTGCATATACTCATAGATAACCTCTGCAATTTGGTAACCTTTTTTTGTTGTTGAGCATTGTGAGCTTTCGCTGCATAGAGTCCTCACGTTCACTCAAGATTACGTTCTGTAAATTTTGTAGGCTTTGATCGAGATTCTTTTCATGGGTTTTATGCATAGAAAAGGCACACAAAATGTTTGACATTATGTTCCAATGAACCCCCTAATTGTTTTACCAATAATGGAGCATAGCAAATCAGGTACTAAAATAATCTACAGATCTACCTTACAAATTAAATAAGCCATCTATGTTATTGTTTCCCTCTTGGTTGGAACTTTCACATTGTCAATCCCCCACTATTTTCTCATTCATTTGCATATTGGTAATAAATGATGATTGATAATTTACACAAAACTAACAAGAAATATGAATGCTAAATAAAAGAACTTTTCATGATATTAATCCACACTAATGAGGTAAACATTTTGAATCAAGGAATGCAACAAACCTTTTCTCTTTAAAAAACCATAGTTAAATGTTACCTCTAAATAAAAATCTGAGTTTATTTGTAAAAAAAATTGGGACATGTTTTGAGTTGTGTGAGACATGGTTTAAAAGAACCAGGTGTAGGGAAAGAGGGGTTTAGTTGGTGATGTGAAGAAAATTCAGCAAGGTAAGATAGTCGATTATCTGAGTTTGATAATCGATTATCGATGCTATCAGGATCAAGATTGGGAGAGAAACAGATAATGAGAGGGAAGTGTTTGTGGTCCTCAAAGAGATGTTCAACAACAAGCTATGATACCAAATGTTGTACCCGAGACCCGGGGTAGTCTAGGATATCAACTTAAGAAGAGAAAGAAGAAGAGAAGGATGTAGAAATATAGGGGAGGCTGAATTCAGGAGAGAACAAAGGAGAGGGAAAGAAGCATTTATCAAGTGAATAATAAGAGGAATCACACACACTTATCTTCACTCGGGTTAAACTCTAGTATTTAAATAAGGAATCACTCAACTTATTTAATGTATCTAGAACCTAAAACTCCCACTTAAGAGAACCATTCTTAAGATATAGAATTAGGATTTAATATATAGAATTTAGAGAGAGAGGCTGAGCAAGAAACTTATATTATCACAATATATTTTTACAAGCTGATTAATACAATGAACCAGGGCTGAAATATATAGGCCATGGAATGGAGAAAACAATACAACAAACATGATTACATGATAAATAAAATACAACAAAGGAAACTTCCCACTTCTTTCCTACAAAATAAAACAAATGTTGTGCATGTGTTAATATCCCAAATGAGTTGAATTCAAGGCTAATGATCAGGGATTTGGCATGTATTTTGGGTGGTCTTAATGTATGGTTTTCGTCCTTAAGGTGGGAGAATAAAGGAAACAACATGGCTTGACTTTTAGTGAGTAATAGGACAAGATATTACTATTCAATCAAAGACTTTTTGGGCAGGCACATGGATGAGGGATTAAGCTTTGTTTTGTATTGTAAAAGTCTTTGATTTTGTTGAATAATAACATGGGAATTTCGACCATATATAGTGGGAATGGTATGTAGCCAAGTGTGTTCCTAAGTGACAAAACCTTTACTGTTAAATCAAAGACCACTTTGGTTTCTAAGTTCAGAGACAGGTGATAATTGATTATCTCTTACTGATAATCGATTAACAAGGTGTGTCTGCTAAACCAAGAATTTTCAGAGGTATCCAGTAGTCGATTGACACTACAAGATTAATCGATTAACAAGGACTCGCTTCCAAACTGGATATCTTCAGAGATGAGTGATAATCGATTTTCTATTGGGAGATAATCGATTATGGAGCATTGCAGGAATACGTTAGGAGAATTCAGAGGGAAGCAATAGTCGATTATCTATGTTGGGTAATCGATTATCATGTCTAAGAAAAACAAACAAAGGTTTTATTTTGTCTTTTGTTGTTCACCTTCGGCCTAGGCTTAGTAATGAATAACAAAGACTTTATTTTGGGCAGAGGAAATGAGTTTGGATGTTGTGGGAGAGGGTTTGTGGGTTGTGATTTGGTTAGGGGGGATTTTGGGCAACAAGGGCTAAGGGTTGGGCTTTTTTATGGGAAAAAGGAATAAATTCAACCCAATTAGGATTATAACACTCAAGCATTAACCCCTGATATTTCTTACCCTTTTGTGATGCATGGTGGGGTACAACAAAAGACATCATTACTTTCTCACCACTCTTTTAATGTATTCCAATGTAAAGACATCATTACTTTATGGGAAAGCGTAAAAGTTTTTGAGAAAGAATAAAAGTTTATGGAAAAGTTTAACTTAAATAAATACTAAATGGGAAAGTGTAAAAGTTTATGGAAAAGTGTAACTTAAATAAATACTAAATGGGAAAGTGTAAAAGTTTATGGGAAAGAGTTAAAAGATATAGAAAAGTGTAACTTAAATATATATTTTATGAGAAAATGTAAAAATTTATGGGAAAGAGTTAAAGTTTATCGGAAAGTGTAACTTAAATAAGTATTTTATTATAAAGTATAAAAGTTTATGGGAAAGTGTAATAATTTAAATAAATACTTATGAGAAAGTGTAACAGTTTATGGGAAATAGTAAATGTATTTAATGCTATTTCACGTATTTGACGGCTTGGCCACTCTTTTCACGTATTCCAATGTAAAGATATCATTACTTTATGGGAAAGTGTAAACTTTTTTGAAAATGAGTAAAGGTTTATGGAAAAGTGTAACTTAAATAAATAATTTATGGGAAAGGGTTAAGTTTTGTAAGTTCGTGGGGGCGCAGCGGATAACACCAAACACAAGCTGTGCAAACAAAACAATCAACTATGTTGTAGAGAAGATGCTGCAGCACTATTACAGTAACAGATGACTGACAGAGTGCTATAACACCTTCTCTGTCACAAGCACACACGTAGAATATAGAGTAAAAACAGCAAGTAAATTCTCCTACGTCTGCAAGGCCCACGTCCGTGTAATAGCCCTTCCACTAAATCACCGTAAGAAATACACAATCAATCACAACAGAACCTTCTAATGTATTGATTTGTCTATTTATGAATGACTTGACGACAAACTCGGTTTGCGTCTATTGTTGGAATGCATGAGTTCAACCCTTTCTGTGTTGTTATGTGTTGACTCACAGGTTTTGATAATTGACAAACATAATTTATTCAAGTCAAGATCAAAGTGCTACAACGACATACACAAAGACTTGAAGTGTCATTCCTTGAAATATTGAAAAAGGTGCACAAGATTTTATTGAAGTCCGAGACGCGTTCAGAGCGCCTAACGGAGGACTCGGAGGAGTAGAAGATTTCCGAAGACTTTTTATTTATTTGAGTCGTAGGAATAATTGTTTGTATGACAAAAATATCTTCTCTTCAAAATTATTTTTATGAGAGTTAAAATAAAAAAATATATATTTATTTTTGGAGTCAGTTGAAAAATCTTTTTAACTGTTCAAAATAGTTTTATTAAGTCAGTCACAAAAGGTGTGCCAAACATTTATCAAATATTTATTCTGATATTATAAAATATTTTTGGTAAGCAAAAATATTTTATTCAAATATTTTTCGTGTACATCGTTTGACACAAAATATTTTTGGAACTCAATTTCTACAACAAAATTCTTTATTTAATTCAAATTTTGAATTTGAATTAATTCTTTCAAACTTTTGGTTTGTTTGTTTTTGGGAGCCTTATCATATTCAAATCCTTGTCCAAAACAAGTCATTAAGCTCCAAAATATTCACTCAACTCGCACACATGTTTTGGGTCCTCGTGTTTGGGTTTGTTCGTTACAGGATTGATCCTTTTGTCTGGATCGATCTCCGTGTGCGAACCCTGGGAGTTGGATCGATCCCCACATTAGATCGATCACATCATTTTGGGATATTTTCTTCGGAGGATCGATCAACCTGTATGGATCGATCCCCCGTCGCTCAATCATATTTCGTTTCCCAAATTTTAACTCCTTTGGATCGATCCTTTGCCTTGGATCGATCCCCCGAATCTTTGACAGTAATCTATTTTCGATCCATTACTCCAGGTGATCGATCCTCACCCTTGGATCGATCCCCAACGTGTTTTATTTGTCAAAATCAGCCTTCCCTACTTCCAACGGATTTATTTCTTTTTCCTGTATAAAAACACTCTTCCTTGGTCATTTTTCATAACAAGAAACACTCAAATACTCCCCATTCTTGAGATGTTAATCCTCCATCAATCTTTCCTCAAATTTATATTATTTTGAGAGAAAAACTAAGTGTTTTCAAGAGAGTGTTTTGTCATCCATTAGAGCTTTAATCATTTCTCATTTCTACTCTTTTGAGACCTATTGTTGAGAGGTTGAAGAAGATTGTTCTTCTTGTTGTTCAAGACTTATGTGACTTAAGTCTTGGTTGTAAAGTCTTGTAGAGGGCATATCTACGAGCGGTTGTGACGAGGCTTGTGGGATTCAAGTTCTCGAGTTGTAAACGGTTTGTTAAGCACCCGTAAGCTTAACGGAAGTAGTGGTAGCTTCGAGAGAGTCTCTCGGGGAACTGGACTAGCCACGAGGTGGTGAACCAGTATACACCGGTGTGTTCTTTGCCTTCTCTATTTTATTTTCGCTGCACTTACGTTTATATTATTAATCCTGCGAAAATCGGTAAACATTCTCAACAACTATATTCACCCCCCTCTAGAGTTGCACGCCTTGTTTAACAATTGGTATCGGAGCGGGTATCTCTAACGCTCTTTGTGACGTTTGAGAAAACGATCAAAAATTTTTTTGAGAATATTGAACGCAGGGATAGGAGAAGGGCAATCCACCATAAGGCCGCCATTTTTTGATGGAACAAATTACTCCTATTGGAAGGAGCGAATGAGGATTTTTGTTCAATCAAACGACTTCAAAATTTGGCTTGCTATCAAGAATGGAGATAGCTTGCCGATGAAGAAGATAGGTGATACACTCACCCCGAAGGACGAGGATGAATATGATGAAGCCGACTTTAAGAAGGCTCAATTAAATGCCACCACCATCAACTTCTTGTATTGTGCTGTCAATGCCAACGATTATCAAAAGATATCTCGTTGCCAAACCGCCAACCAAATGTGGAACAAGTTCATGATCACATACGAAGGTACGCCTCAAGTTCGTGAATCAAAAAGTGATTTACTAACCCATGAATATAAGTTATTTGCTATGAAAGAGAACGAACTTGTAGAGGACATGTTTGGAAGATTTTCAAACATCGTCTACGACCTTGATATGCTTGGAAAGACGCTAACCGACAAGGAGTTAGTGAGGAAAATCTTGCGAAGTCTTACCAAGGAATGGGAGTCAAAGGTTAACTCCATCTACGAAGGCCGAGATTACAACGTTATCACATACGACGGTGTCCAAGGTAACCTTATCACTTAGGAAACAAATCATCTTTCTCATACTCTTGACATTAAGAAGAGAACGGGAATTGCTTTTAAAGCATCTCTTTCTCAAAAAGTAGAGATCGATGATTCGGATTCGGATAGTGATAGTGATTCTAGCACTTCTTGTGATATTTTGGTTGAATGTTTTAACGAGTTTATGAAACATGAGCTTAATAAGAGCAAGAGGAAAAACACCCCAAGGTGTCATACGTGCGGAAAGCTTGGCCACCAAAAATTTGAGTGCCCGAAGCTCAAGAAAATGAGCAAACAAAATGAATTTGCATATTTTTCGTGGAGTTATGATCAACTTTCCAAAGACGATTCCCTCATCGGTGTTGAAGAACAAGATGGGTGGTCAGGCACGTGACGCACTTGAAAGGCGTGCTTGAAGACTACAAATTTGTAGTGGATGCTCCAAGCACTTAGCCAAAGAGATTGCATCAAAGGGGAGTGATTACATTTTTTTAAATTAAATGTTATCTTTGAGATTTATTTGTGATAATTGTTATTTGGGGAATATACATAGGATGTTTTGCATATAGTAAGGGAGAATTTATTGCTATATGTGTTAATCCTTTTGTATGTTTTTTAAGGGGTAGATAGCATACTTTAAGGGGGAAGTATTTTATTTCCTAGAAATGCATGATTTTAGGGGAAATGTGATTTTTCTTAATTGTTTAGTAATTTTTTTTCTCCCCGGAATGCATGAGTTCTTTTGTTGCATTATTTTTTATAATGCCAAAAGGGGGAAGAGTATAGGAGTATATGTCTTATTTTGTTATTTTTTGATAGCATATCCTCCATGTGTTTGTCATTATCAAAAAGGGGGAAATTGTTGGAATGCATGAGTTCAACCCTTTCTGTGTTGTTAAGTGTTGACTCACAGGTTTTGATAATTGACAAACACAATTTATTCAAGTCAAGATCAAAATGCTACAACGACACACACGAAGACTTGAAGTGCCATTCCTTGAAGTATTCAAGAAGGTGCACATGATTTTATTGAAGTCCGAGACGCGTTCAGAGCGCCTAACGGAGGACTCGGAGGAGTAGAAGATTTCCGATTGAATCGTTGAAATTCAATCTCCACCGTTCCGATTGAAGCTCCACGAGTCCTTAGACTCCTCCTAAAATTGCAGCACGATCAGACAAGATTTGGTACTCCGATCATCGACAAAACCAGAGCTGCGTTCTGTGCAAAAAATCAGGAACAATGTGTAGATTGTAACTTCGATAACAGAAGATCCGTACCTCCGATTGACTTGAAATTTGCACACGTTGAAGCCCTATGTGTTGGGAACCCTCTCTGAAAGTTTCAGCAAAAACCAACAGTCGGATCTTCGGCGATGATCAAATCCGTGCGGGCTGTCCATAAAATTTACAGTCTCAAAATCTGCACCTTGTTTTTTCTTTTGATCGGATTTGCTTTAGGTTTTTTGTAGTTTTGCACGCCCAAAAACCTAAGGGAGGGTGAAGATAATATATAGAGCATATTAACCTTGTTAGAGTGTGCTTAGGAGTCTCAACCATGTCTTCCTCCTCAAGAATAGTAAACCAAGTAGGATTAGACTTCTTTCTTCAAGCTTTTTCCTCTTTCTCTTTCTTCACATGCTAGAACTCTAAGTCTAAATAAAATATCTAAAATAATTCTAGGTAAATCTATTCGTTTGTCAAAAAATAATGCCAACACAATATGGAACTAACAAGTTTATGAGAAAAAGTTAAAGTTTATGGAAAAGTGTAACTTAAATAAATACTTTATAGGAAAGTGTAAAAGTTTATGAGAAAGAGTGAAAGTTTATGAAAAAGTGTAAATTAAATAAATACTTTATGGGAAAGTGTATGGAAAAGTGTAAGTTAAATAAATACTTTATGAGAAAGTGTAAAAGTTTATGGGAAAGAGTTAAAGTTTATGGAAACGTGTAACTTAAATAAATATTTTATGGGAAAATCTAAATGTCTATGGAAAAGAGTTAAAGTTAATGGAAAAGTGTAACTTAAATAAATATTTTATGGGAAAGATTAAAAGTTTATGGCAAAGTGTAATAATCTAAATAAATACTCATGAGAAAGTGTAACAGTTTATGGGAAATAGTAAAAGCATGATATGACTTTACACTAAGAAGCATGTGATGGGGCTTTGATAATGTCGAATGCTTTGGACCTGTTTTCATTAAAGAAAACACTGTTTTTCTAGGGTTATTTTCAAATCATATATCATCCTCAAGCTTTGTGTTTGAATTGACATTTTAATTGATTATGTTATTGTACGTTATTTTTGTTCAACATTTATTTTAACTTGATTTAGAAATATAGTGTACAAGAAAGTCTTTCAAAATCATTAATTATGTTTTTTGTCTTCACTATGCATTCGTCAATAGTAGTATATAATACTTTTAATGTTTATATTGAATACAATTTCGTTGTGTTGTCTTTATATACACTATAAATTTATTTTTTATTTTCTTTCACTGACTCAAAATATTATCCGTGCAACGCACGGGTTAGAGAACTAGTGTCTACATATCAAAATTGCCATAAAATTCAAAAGCTAAAATGCAATGAATTAAGCATTTTTTTTATTTTAAAAATCAGCATATAGCTCAACATAGATAAATACTTTGAATTGAAATCAGGTTTTAAAACAACTCAAAATTTAGATTTCAATGAAGAGCACTATTTCTTTTAAAAATGCAGTGTTTTCCAATTCTTTAAAGCAAGATTGGAATGAAAAAAACCATTTTGTATTTGGAAATACAGGACATAGTTCAACATACGAAAGTAGATCAATGCTTTGACTAAATTTCAAGAATGGTGAACAAATTAAGGAGCAAGCATTGCAAAAAGGAAAGAACATTCCAAGAGCACAAATACTTTTTTCAAAAAAAAAAGATTCACCAGAAGCATAGCTTAAAACTGCATAAACATACCAAGCGAGTTGAATAGTAACTTGAAGAGATCAACAAAGAACACAAAAAGTATGTAAGTTGGTATCAAGTATTAAAAACTAAAATTAGTTAATCGTTCTAAAGCTATAATTGAAAGAAGTGCACTATTCAGAAACCAGAGCTGGTTAGTAGCATCTTTCCCCATGTTAAAGAGGGAAACTGTAGAAAGAATATTTTCATTTAATAATTGTGTAGAGAATACATCAATATATACTAGAGGCTTCAATCCTAATCATAGTAGGAGAGCCACATTAGGAAACATATACAAGTATGGTAACACTATAATTAAATATAAGTAATATATTTAGCATGCTCCCGGCTACGTCGGATGTGGAGGAGGTCGGACGCCAAGGCTGGATTTGAACTCGAGGAAGAGCAGGGACGGTAGGCCTTTGGTGAAGATGTCAGCATACTTGGAAAAAGAGGGAACATGAAGAACACGAACCTCCACATGTTTGGTCCGCTAGTGCTGTAACGGATTTGATGATAGGTAGACGGCACTGATATTGTCACAGAAAACAAGGGTGGCACGTCTGAGTGGCTGCCGTAGCTCAAGGAGAAGGTTGCGGATCCACGAAGTCTCAGCTACGGCATTCGCCACAGCCCGGTACTCGGCCTCGGCACTGGATCGGGAGGTAGTGGCCTGGCGCTTGGATGACCAGGAGACCAAGTTATCGCCTAGGAAGACACAATAACTAGAGGTGGAGCATCTAGTGTCAGGACATCCAGCCCAGTCTGCATCAGAGTATGCCTGCAAAGAGTGTGTACTGGATGGCGTCAGATGAATGCCATGGGTGGCCGTGCCCTACAGGTAGCGAAGGATCCGCTTCATGGCCGTGAGATGCACGTCCCTAGGTGCATGGAGGTGAAGGCAAAGCTGCTGGACGTCATAAGTGATGTCACGTCGAGTAAGAGTGAGATACTGCAGAGCTCCAACAATAGACCTGTACAACGTCGGATCAGGAAGGGCCGTCCGAGCTAAGCAGGATAGTTTTGCCTTTGTGTCCACTGGTCTAGAGATGGGATGATAGGAGACCATCCTAGCCCGCTCGAGGATGTCATGGATAAACTGAGTCTGATGGAGGAACATCCCAGTGGAGGTGCGATGGACATTGATGCCGAGGAAGAAATGTAAGTCGCCCATGTCTGTCATGGCAAACTAAGCCTTGAGTTTCTGAAGGAGTGCAGGTGAAGAGGCAGTGAGAACGATGTCGTCGACATAAAGTAAGAGATAGGCCGTGCCCGCGGCATGAGAGAAAGTGAAGAGGGACGTGTCAGACTTGCACCCTTGGAACCCAATAGTCTGAATGAAACCTGCAAACCTGTGATACCATGAGCGAGGTGCCTGCTTGAGGCCGTACAAGGCCTTTTTGAGCTTACAGACATGATGAGGGCGTTTGGCATCCTGGAACCCAGACGGCTGACTGGCATACACGGTTTCCTGAAGCTGGCCATGGAGGAATGCATTTTTGACATCTAGCTGATGAATGGGCCAACTGCGAGACAGAGCAAGACTATGGACGACGCGGACAGTGGCAGGCTTGATAACGGGGCTGAACGTTTCACCGTAGTCGACGTCAAAACGCTTATTAAAGCCACGAACAACCCATCGGGCCTTATACCTGGTTAACTCACCTGAAGGGCCAAGTTTGTGTCTGAAGAGCCATTTACCGGTGATGATATTTTGTGTGGGGGAGGGGGG